TTAGACCAGTTTATGTGTTTATGTAGGCTATTAGACCAGTTTATGTGTTTATGTAGTATGTTAGACTAGTTTAAGTGTGTGTTCACGGTGTGTGTGTGTTCACTGCTGTGTGTGTGTGTGTGTGCACTTAGGATGGGATAAATGCAGAGCACTAATTCCGAGTATAGGTCACCATACTTGGCCACATGTCACTTCACTTCACTTTAAAACGCATGTGAACAGTAGCCTACTTTTTGATCAGTTCATCAGTAATATTCAGGAAATAATAGATATTGAATGGATGTTTGAACTTATTTGCATGTTTGATTGTTTTTAGTGTGTGTTTATCCACATTCCAAATGATCAGAAAAGAGGAAACCAACAATAAAACAGGTGAAAGAGACTTCCAAAAATTGAGACTTTGAAGCAGCACCTCTGATGGAACACAGTGACTGAACCTAAAACCTTCAGCTGACACACAGATTATATACACACACATTTGTAAATTACTGAAGTTGCACTGTATGACGTTACAGAAAGTTGTCCGGTCCAGTTCCTTTCACACAGCAGTGTTGTGTTACTTGTTAAGCTGCATGTTATAGAGCCTGGCACGTGTCCGACAGCTTATCAGAATTACCATCCCCCCCTCTCCCAAAACAGCTTATACTACTGTTTCAGCTATTAAAATAGTTCAGTTTTGTATGTAATGGCAAAGTGATTATATTTTGTTTCATTTTTATATTAAGTTAATTTATAAAAACGTTTGGAGCATTTTTTGTTCGTTGTAAATTTATTTTTTTTAAAGTGGCGGCCAGCGGCAGACAATGAGCTGATCATAGTCTATGTTTGATCAATTTAGCCTTCTCAAATCATCACGACCTGCCTAAAATCAAATCTATAGACATAAAACAGTTCAAGCATATAACAATGTTTTAACGTTAAACCTAGATAAATGTGCGCTGTATCCAATAGTTTGTGCAGAGAGTGGAAGCTAAAGCGCGCTTTGCAGGACATAGAGACGCCAGCGCGATCACTTGCATTTTCTTTCAGTGGATACGCCGTTATTTTTGCTCATAAAGGTAAGAGTAATACATCATTCGTAACTGTAAAGGGTCTACTTGTATTTGTGTGCACTCACAATATCAACAAAACGTTGTGCTTTTATAAAATAAAGAACTCAAACATGATGCGCTTTCTGCCGTGTCTTCTTCAACAGGAGCGCTTCACAAAAATGAACCGAAACTCAGCGAATACATGCCTCACAGACATGATAAATATATCTATAGAAAGCTTTAAATTACTACTTAATGAAATAAAACAAATCAAAAACTCTTTCATTATAATCATAATCCATAAAGATGCACTTCTCTCAAAAGGCGCGTCTGAGGAGATGGCAAGTCAGGATCGACAACTTCATCTTTGCGACACTGACTCAGAAAACACTAGTTTATTAGTAAATAACTAAAATATCTCCTTACTATTTCCCCCTGACACATTTATGGTAATTACTTTTGCCGATGCTTTGCGGCAAGCTTAAGCCTATTGTGTGCATTTGAATGCAGAACTCTTCAGCTGCGCTGACGGCACGCATGCTGCTGCTGCGGGACACTAAACACCACCGAGCCGCTCTTGACAGTCGCGGTACCATGGTCTCATGTTGTTTCCACCAGCACGACAATTTTTTTCATCACTAATTGATGGATGTCTAAAATATAAAAATAATGAGAAGCCTTAAACAGGTGTAATGGCCGGCACCTCTCTCTGACTCATTCCTGCTGTTCATCCGTGTTTTGTCTCTGTCGCCAACAGGAGGAGATCCAGGCATCTCATCAGGCCTTGACCAGTCTATCACAACAACTCAGCGCTATTTCCCAAAGACTCGACCAGATTCAGATTGGTCCATCTAGGGATCTCGCCGCTGTGGTGCCTGTTGTGGAGGAGACACCTACTCTGCGCCGATCCGAACCCCGCCTGAATCCGCCGGCTCCTTATTCTGGTGAACCCACATCACGCAGTTCATTCTTGTCACAGTGCTCTCTGACTTTCTCATTACAGCCTTCCTGTTTCCACACCGACGAATCCAGGGTAGCATTCGTTATCATGCACCTGGCCGGTATCGCAAGAGAGTGGGGCGCGGCTATGTGGGACAACAAGCATGATTGCTGCAGGTCCTACTCTAACTTTTCCCAGGAGCTACGGAAGGTCCTTGACTGATCAGCTCAGGGTAATGAGGCAGCACGAGCACTATCGCTACTGCGACAAGGAACCAGAACAGTGTCGGAATACGCAATCGAGTTCCACACGCTTGCCGCATCTAGCGGTTGGAACAGCAAGGCGCTGTGGGACCACTTCCTCCATGGACTGGCTGAGCACATGAAGGATGAGATCTACTCCCTGGAGCTGCCTCCCTCATTCGATGGGTTGGTCGAACTCGCCATTCGGGTGGATTTTTGCTTGACGCTCAGGTCACAACATCGCGGCATGGAGATCAGGCGTGAGAGTTTTGATCTGCCGTCCAGTGCTAGAAGCACCACGTCACCACGGTTTGGGGTCTCTGAAGAGGAACCCATGCAGATTGGCCGAGCTCATCTCACGACCCGGGAATAGTGGCATCGGATCGCCCAGGGGTTGTGTCTCTATTGTAGGGAGGCGGGGCATATGGTTACTGCCTGCCCTCACAAAAGGCAACCTCCCTCTGGAGAGAGGTCGCGCACGGTAAGCGTGACTGCTGCTCTACTGCCCTCTGGTGGCCGGACTACTCTCCCGGCGGTGCTTCAGTCAGAGGGGCACATGGTGGCAGCACTTATCGACTCGGGAGCGGAGGGGGATTTCAAGGACATTGAACTTGCTAAATGCTGGGGGGGGGTTCCTGTTGTTCCTCTAGCCGAATCAATCTCTGCCAAGACACTTTGCGGTACTCCTCTCAGCAAGATAACAGCCGTCACGGGACTCGTTCACTTGATCACTTCCGGCAATCACACCGAGGAGATACGATTCCTTCTCATTCACTCTCCCTCCGCTCCAGTAGTTTTGGGGCACACCTGGCTTATTAAGCACAACCCTTTCATTGATTGGGCTCACCACACTGTATTGGAGTGGAGTCCATTTTGTTTGTCTCAATGTTTAGTGTCTCCTTCATCCCCTGTCATGTCTGTTTCTGTGTTACAGGGGGAGCCGTTTGACCTGGCAAATGTTCCAGCAGCTTACCATGACTTGAGAGCGGTGTTCAGTAAGTCCCGAGCTTCATCCCTTCCTCTGCACCACCCGTATGATTGCGCGATAGATTTATTACCTGGCACTTCTCCACCTAAAGGGTGCCTTTATTCGCTCTCCGGTCCTGAGAGGGAGGCCATGGAGAAATACATCAATGAGTCTCTAGTAGCCGGGTTTATACGTCCTTCTTCCTCTCCGGCTGGGGCGGGGTGTTTCTTCGTGGAGAAGGATGGATCGCTCTGCTCCTGCATTGATTATTGGGGGCTGAATGACATCACGGTCAAGAATAGTCATCCCTTGCTGTTGATGTCTTCAGCCTTCGAACTCTTGCAGGGGGCGACCATTTTTACGAAGTTAGACCTACGCAACACTTACCACCTAGTTCGGATTAGGAAGGGGGACGAATGGAAGACGGCTTTTAACACCCCCACAGGTCACTTTGAGTATTTGGTTATGCCTTTTGGACTTTCAAACTCCCCCGCGGTCTTCCAGACACTCGTTAATGACGTGCTCAGAGATGTGGTTAACCGGTTTGTGTTTGTATACCTCGATGACATCCTGATCTTCTCCCAGAACGAGCGTGATCACATCCAGCATGTCAGGTTAGTGTTACAGCGGCTACTAGAGAACTGCTTATTCGCCAAGCGAGTTTCACGCACAATCAGTTCCGTTCCGGGGGTTTATTTTGTCGCCGGAAGGCATTCGAATGGACCCTGCCAAAGTAGAAGCGGTTGCTAATTGGCCCACCCCAGACAGTCGTAAACCGGTTCAACCGTTTCTGGGGTTTGCCAATTTTTACAGGCGGTTCATTCGAGGGTTTAGTCAGATCGCCTTGCCTTTGACTAATCTCACCTTCACACGTTGGCGATTCTGTTGGTCTGAACAGGCTCAAGAGGCTTTCAAAAGACTAAAGGGCCGCTTCATTTCAGCCCCGATTTTAATTAACCCAGACCCGTCTTGCCAATTTATTGTGGAGGTGGATGCGTCAGAGGTCGGTGTGGGGGCTATTTTGTCTCAAAGATCGCCTTCAGATGACAAAGTATACCCATCCGCCTTTTTTTCTCATCGACTGACCCCCTCAGAACGGAACTGCGATATTGGGAATAAGGAGTTACTGGCTGTTAAGTTGGCTTTGGAGGAGTGGCGTCACTGGCTGGAGGGTGCGGGGGTTCCTTTTCTGGTTTGGACTGACCACAAAAATCTTGAGTACATCCGTTCTGCCAAAAGAATACATTCTCGTCAGGCCCACTGGGCTCTATTCTTCGGGCGGTTTAACTTCACTATCTCCTATCGCCTGGGGAGTAAGGACGGTAAACCTGACGCGCTCTCGCGGATTTTTGAAAATGAGACCGTATCCTCTTCTCCGGTGCCCATTGTGCCACCCAACCGGGTGGTTGCGACGGTCACCTGGGAGGTGGAGTCCAGGGTCCGCGAGGCACTAGATGGCGTTACTATCCCCGCGAGATGCCCAGATGGTCTGTTATTTGTACCTGAGTCAGTTCGAACCAGCATCCTTCAGTGGGGCCATTCTTCTAGACTAGCTTGCCACCCAGGAGTGGCTCGGACACTTGCGCTAATTAAGCAGCGGTTCTGGTGGCCGTCGGTAGTGCGGTACGCTCGGGACTTCGTGTTGGCCTGCCCGGTATGTGTGGTGGGTAAGGGTAAGCTACATCATATTAAGTGAGACAGTGACATTTTGTTTTTAAAAATATGAATTCAATAGTGATTCACACTTAAAATCCAAGAAAATGATATTCATGGAGGATGTGAAGTAAAGTTTTTCTGAATTTTGAGCATGAATCATATTGAATCCTTATTACAAACTAAAACGATTTATGCACCAAAACAAGACAACATAGGAGACAAGAGAGTGTGATGTTAACATCCTTATAGAATCTGCCATATAAAAATATGACATAATAAAGCTAAAAAAAAGAAATTTCTTAACTTGATTCTGGCATTTGATACATGACATTACCATTCAAAAGTTTGGGATTACTATGATTTTTTTTTTTTTTAAGAAATGTATACTTATGTTCTTCAAGGATGCATTAATTTAAAAAAAATGACAGTAAATGTAAATGACATTTATAATATAAAAAAGATTTCTATTTCAAATAAATGCTGTTCTTCTGAACTTTCTATTCATCAAGGAATGATGAATAATGGTTTCCACACTTCATTAAGCTGTACAACCATTTTCAACTGCGATAATAATCAGAACTGTTTCTTGTGCAGCAAATCAGCAGAAGTATTTGTTTTCTCATTTACAGCGTACCAAATGTAGGCTACTTTTAAACTTTTGTCCATACAATTTTGTTTAATCCAAAATACTTATTACAGGAACACATCCATGCTTGTGTGTGTGGTTTTAGATTCCTGTTCATTTTGTAAATATAGCCTAAGCCTAACAGTTTAAGAACAATCACCAGCATAGATGAAAAACGATTAGTCCACAAATAAAAAAACTTTTTATTTCAGCTGTTGTCCTCAAATGATAACAACTAACAACAGACATCGTTTTAAAGTATTGCAAGCTACAGCACAACGAACTGAAATCAAAGTAATTTATACAACTAGATTAAGTGTGCTGAATGTCTGCAATCATTCAGTCAGTGCCGACTGCCCAAAACATGCAAACCAATAAAAACATTATAAACTGTTACAAAATGATGAACAAATGTAGTTTAGGCATAGGTTTGTGCAACACTGTAAATATGTTTACCTTTTTTTTATATTCCATTAAACCTGCCGAGATACAAGGAGCATGAACTGAAATTCTCAGTTCCACGCGCATGTCCGGGAAACTCATGAATATTCATGTATGCTCCGCCCACTGAAACTGAAAATATCGTAACACCGGCCCGCGTCTGAACTATGACGTGAAAATTGGCCTGAAGCCCGGACCGAGGGGCGTAAAAAAGTCAGGCCCGGGCTGGAATGCAGGACTCTATCACGTTAACAGAGACACGCACACAGAATAGCGCTCATTCTAGGCTTCTTTACTAGCGCATTGTGCATTCCGCTCACAGTATATCGATGGAACATACCAACTATACGAACTGTGTGGGGGAAACTCTCTGAAGTTTTCTGAAGAAAAAAAGTTTTCTCTCATTCTCGCTGTTTGGTTGATCATGCATGGTCAGATGTACTTGTTACATCGTTAGAAGAATGGCATCTATGCTAATATTAGTCTATGCTAAGTTTCATTCTTATTTCAAGGTCACCATAGCCACTAGATCCAGTCTGTATCCAGCCCAGATGGTGGATCAGCACCTAGAGATGACCTCGACAGCCCTGAATGTCAGCGGAGACCATGTCAACTAGATGAGCCCCAGAGACCGATCTACTCCGAAGACCTTGTCACCTGGATGGCCATCAGGACAAGATCACGGGAACCAAATGAGTCCTCTGCACAATCTGACTTTGTTGCAACCTAGAATTAAACTGCTGGTTTTATCTGGCCAGAGGAGAACGACACACTATTTCTCTGTTTAATAGTGAAGCTGCTTTGTCACAATCTATATTGTAAAAAGCACTATATAAATAATGGTGACTTGACTCGACTTGACACAGTCCCTTACAGAGTGTCATAATTGAATTGGTCAATTACAGGGGAGCAAGCAATGATATTTAATATATAATTTCAGTCCCGTTCCAGTTAGGTTGATGGCTGATGATTCTATCAGTCCTGTTTCCTTTGCACCTTGCAAAACTGATGACATGCTACATGTGGTACATCATTGCAATTGTTGTCCAAAATATTTAAAGAGCCTCCCACTATTTAAGCTCAAAAAGAAGAAGCTTTTTAGACTACTATAAGTCTTGTGCAGTCAATGAACTTGAACTGTTTTATATCTATAGATGTTGTTTTTGGCAAGTCGTGATGATTTGAGAAGGCTAAATTGTGCAAACTATCAGCTCACTGTCTGCCACTGGCCGCTTGGTCATTGCTTTAAAAAACAAAAACTTATAACGAACAAAAAAATGCTCCAAACGTTTTCCTAAATTAACTTAATAAAAAAACGAAATAGGGGAGAGTTCTGGAGAGCTGCCCTCTAGGATATATCCAGAGCCCTCTAGGTTCTGGATATGCCACCCCATATCCTGTACCTTCTACCATTCACCACAGACTCAATTTCCCATAATCCTTTGCCCGGACTCATCATCAATTGCAATCACCATTCTCTCATCACCTCATCAGTCTCACACTATAAGAAAAGCACACACACATGCTTATATCGCTGGTGATTGAATGTTTGAATGTTTTCCTACCCTGCGTCCCAATGTGCATACTATCCATCCTATCTGCCCTAAATAATATTGAAAATTACTAATATCACATAGAATTTAGGATGGATAGCATGCTCATTGGGACGCAGGCCTAATTTCCTGTGTGTTCCTTGTTTTCCGAGTTTTGCTTTGCCTTAAGTGTTTTTGACCCTGGACTGTTTCCTTGATTCTGATTGTTTGCAGCCTGCCCTCACCATTGCCTGTTATCTGCCTCTGCCTTGGATATACAGTGCCCTCCATAAATATTGGAACAGTAAAGACAAAATTGCTCTGTGTGCTGTGGAGTCAAGACATTTGCAAATATGATTAAAAGATGAATAGGAGACAAAACTACAGAATGTCACATTTTATTATTAACTGTTTCAACACATACATGTTTAACCAAATAAAAAGGACAGCACTTTTAGGGTTCATCCCACTCTCTGATGTGAGCATAAGTATTGGGACAGTAGAACTTAAGGCAAATGTAAACGATTAAAGGTGCGAAGATACTTTGTTCTGGAACAGTGTTGTAAATACATCTTAACCACTGATTTCTAGTTATGTCCTCTTTTGGAAGGCCAAACAGTTCAACCCAAATATTCAGATGTGTGTAGCGCATTTTGCGGAGGACAAGGACTGTTTCCTGTGAGAGTAACCTACAATGCCGGTGTCTGTTTCTATAAAGTGGGGCAGTTCCAACTTTGCAAGGACAGTCTGGCGCTTCTGAAAGTACGTTTTCATATGTAAAGGATTTACCACTGATGATTCAAACGTGAGTTTTGAGCAGTGTAGCGCTTATTTGTAATTTCTCCGATCACAAAGGCAGACATGGTTTTATGTTTACATGGCGTGATACGCAACGCGTAAAAAGAAGTCATTATAATCAGTAATTATGTCCCCATTGGATGAAACAAATGCCTTGTTTGTAATGGGTTTTATTGGTTTCGTCTTGTCGAGCCAGGACACACGGCATGACAGTATGGTAAGGAGCGTAACATTTCCATCACATGCTTGAGGCATTCGGCCAATCACAACGCACTGGATAGCTGGCCAATCAGAGCACACCTCGCTTTTCAGAACGATGAGCTTTGTAAAAATCGACGAGTTTCAGAAAGGCGTGGCATAGAGGAGAAACAATAATGTACAGTATGTGGAAAATACAGGGTTTTTTTAACCTTAAACCACATAAACACATTGCATTAATGTTCTTTTAAGCAACGTAATATGACCCCTTTAAAAGCTATTATTTAGTTGCAGATTCCTTGCGTGCAATCACAGCAGTGAGACCCATAGACATCACCAGACTCTTGGTCTTATCCTTTGAAATGCTTTTCCCAGCCTTTAATGCAGCCAATTCCAACTGTTGCTTGTTTTGGGGAGTTTCTGCCTTTAGTCTCCTCTTCAGCTGGTGAAATTCATGTTCAATCAGATTTAAATATGGAGATTGATTTGGTCAATCTAAGACCTTCCATTTTTTTGCCCTGATAAACTCCTTGACTGAACTGGCAGTGTTTTGGGTCATTGTCCTGATGCAATATAAAGCGCTTTCTGATGAGTCTGGTGGTATTTTCTTGAAGATTGGTAGGCAAGATGGTTTTGTACCCTTCCAAATTCATTCTGCTACTGTTATCATACATTAAGTCATCATTAAAATTGGTAGGGCCTGTTCCAGAGACAGCCATGCACGCCCATACCATGACAACCTCCACCATGCTTTACAGATGAGGCTGTATGCTTAGGATAATTTGCAGTTCCCTTTTTTTCTCCACACTTTTGTTTTCCCATCACTTAGATAAAGGTTAATCTTTTTCTCATCTGTCCATAAAACTCTGTTACAAAACTCTACTGGCTTTTGCAAACTCTAATCTTGCCTTTCTATTTTTGGTGCTGTTCATAGGTTTGCATCTTGCTGTGTAGCCTCTGTAACTCTGTGTCAAAGTCTCCTGCGGACAGTAGATTGTCAGAACATCACACCAGCTTTTTGGAGATTGTTGGTGATTTTACAGACACGTATTTTAGGGTTCTTTTTCACAGCTTTTATGATTTGCCTGTCATCAACTGCTGTTGTTTTTCTCAGCCGATCAGGTCGTTGTTAGTTGCTGACGTCGCTGGTGGTTTCCAAACTCTTGTTTTCTCCATGCCCTTTGTTTTTAATTTACTTCCTCTTTTCTTTTAGCATCCAAATTGCTTGCTTTTCTCTCAGAATGCAGAAGCAATGGATATAACTGATATAACACATTCCCTGCTTTTAATATCTGAAGAATTAATGCAACAGGACACAGCTGATCACTTATAAAGACCTGTGAGGCAACTGTTCCAGTACTTATGCTCACATCAGGTAGGGGGATGAAACTCTAAAAGTGCTGATCTTCTTAGTTGGTAAAACATGTATGTGTTCAAACACCCAATAATAAAATGTGACGATTTGTAGTTTTGTCTCATATTCATCTTTTAATCATATTTACAGATTTCTTGACTCCACAGCAAACAGAGCAATTTTGTTGTTACTGTTCCAATACTTATGGAAGGCAATGTAACTGTTTGCTGTTACTGGACCCTGCCTGTATGACTACGCCTTGTCAAATAAAGCCTGTATTTGGATCCCCCAATTGTCGCCTCTCTCGTTACAGTAACACGGACCATTATAGTGTATGAAAAGTAGTTAAATATATGACTTTGGACAGAAAAAATGAGAAGTGAGATTATTTAAACAAAAACTAAAGTCAGTAATTATGTTATGGTTATGTTATTATGTCAAACTTTATTCAGAGAACCATTCAACCAATTATTTATGCATTCAACAAAAGTCTTTTTGCAAGAACTCATAAACAGATTATGCATACAGAGCAGAGGATATATAAAGATTGTTTTAGGCATTAAGTAGAAGAGACTACAGAACTCTGCAGTTTACAAGTACAGCATTTAAAAAGCTAAACATTATCATCCCAGGTCACCAGCATCATGAGACAGAAAACAAATGGGATGATGTACTTGTGCATGTAGATCACTCAGAAATGGCAGGTGTATTAGAGGGTGTCACACTTTGTGGTGGAACTATTTTTGTCAGTTGTTCCTTTACACGTTCATATTCTTTTTGCCACTCTTCCTTGGAGATAGAGGAAGGACTGACCTCCAAAAACTTGTAGGCATCTTTGGTTTGGAGCTTGAAGATGACAGATGCTTGTTTACAGCCTGCACCAAACATGCTCCAAGCCTGTGGTATTAAAACATTTCAAAAAATAACATTAGACTTTTGCATGAAGCATGTAATTTAGGAAGGAATATTCAAGCCTTTCTTCAGGTACAAATAAAGAGAGAAAAAATAAAACCTTCCTGTAATCGTGTAAACATTCATTTTTACCTCTTCTGCTGTTTTGATTGATTCTAGAAATTCATCTTTTAGTTCAGCAAGGTCTTCAATAAGATCTTCTCCAACAAAGGTCTTTTGTTCCAGGTAGTCCAACATTTGAGCAACATTCTCCCAGAAGTTTTTCAGCTGAATTAGAATTGCCTGAATTTTTGACAAGCTACTCTGTACGTCATTTAGATGGATGGGGTCGGGTATGGAATCTGCAGAGAGGAAGAAACCGAACATGCTTCAATGAGACACATGTCTTAAACTAGGCTTGAATATTGATACAGTCTTAATCATGAATTATTATATAGGTATATTTTAAACATGAAAGAAAACGGACTCACTCCGGTCAAAAGTGGCTTTGGCAGACTTCATCTGCCAATCAATGATCTGGAGTTCGAGCTGCCACTGCTTTTGTTTCAGAGCAGTCTTTTCAGCGACGAGGTTATTCAATTCAGCTTCAAGAGCCTTCATATGGGCAACATTTTCAGGATCATGTACAGCATCATAAATGCTTTTCACAACTAGCCCGATGAATGGAACGATTGCGGCGAAGATGCCGAGGCCTTTACTTTTTTGGGTTATGGATCTGGCAAATTCTTGAATCTCTTGGCTTTTGCTGTTTATCTTTCTCTCAACTGCAGCAAGCTCTTCAGTGGTTTTTTGGAGTTTTGATTTCAGATCATTCAGGGTATTTTCAGTCTGCTTCATTTCATGGTCTTGCGCTGTAATCTTTTTATCAGTATCTATTTTTTCCTTGATAACATCACTGGTGGATGATGCTACATCTTTGTTGTGTAAATCATACCTACACAATGTTGAAGAAATCTTGCCATGAAATTTACATTTTACAACAATGGGCTGGTGTAACTAGCTTAAAAGTTTAGCTTAAAACATGTTCATAGTTTTATGTGATTAAAGAATTTTCATATAGAAAAAAAATGTAATTGCTCAAGGTATTTTGAAACATGTTTTCATGAGGAAAATGTTCTTACTTTTCCACTATCCTGTCCACTTCACTGATAATTTCTTTGATCCAGACTCGTGCTTTCGCAAGAAATTTGACTGCCGAAACTGGCTTATTTTTCTCCACAGCTTTCGTCAACATGGGAAACAGTGACTGAACCAGGTTTTCACTTGTCAAAATACACTGTGAGAAGAAGGATAAGACGTGAGATCACATATCTTAGACTAAAAAAAAAGACAGTGGTGATTAAACTTACAATAAGCATACTGAACCGAGATGATGTGTACAAATTTTTATTTTTTATATTTTACTTAAAATGTCAGTTTAAAAAGTATAAATTTTTCATGGCTCACATTATGACACATGTATTTATTTACAGTTATGACACCTCTTTTCTAGGTGACAGAGATAAAAAATACTGTAATCAAGAGAAAATCTGAAACAGTACTTTCAACATCGTTGCATCAGAGGAGCCAAACAGAAGCTGGGTTTCCACAGCCCGACTCCTGATGATCCTCTCCAGGTTGGGGAAGTTGGCCAGGCACAGGTAAGAGAGATGGTAGAGAAGAGCTGTCTTTTGAGCAGCAGGGAGGAGCTCTTTTACAAATGTGGGGCTCCACTGGGACACAGCCACTGGTGAAAAAAACATGGCATATTTTTAAAGACAGAACAGATCACATTGATTACTGGTATTGTTTTCAAATCTGTTGAAATAATGAAATAAGACAATACTTGCTTTTGCTATCAGCCATCCTTAGAAGGTTTACACAATTACACAATGTGCAATGAGTTCTCCTAAAATGCACTAAAGCAGAACCAGTTTTGGTTGGTTTAAAATATGTCTCAAACACATACAATACGTAACTGGAAGGATATCTGAAAATGATCATAAAAATGTTAAGGGAAAATTACTTACCTTTGTTTTAGTAAGTGATATGGAGAACAAGGTATCTGGTGTTTTTATACTAAAGGTATCCCCACCCTGCCTCCACCCTCAGAGAAAATGACTGTGGTATTTGGAAATTTACTTCCATATATGGGGGCAGCTTGAGTCATGTTCAGTTAAGCGGTTTTGTTGGTGCAGAAGAGGTATGCAAGAATCCTTTCTGAGACAAAACTAAATTATATGCTCCATGACTATTACATTCAAAGAATATGTTATGTTCTGCATGTAATAAAGTGCTCGTCTGGGAAAGCCTAGTGAACCAAACTGAGAGACCATTTTGAAGGCTCAGGAAACCTTTGCAGGTGTTTTGAGTTGATTAGCTGATTGGCATGTCACCATATTCTAATTTGAGTTGAATTACTTAAATGAACTTTTCCACGACATTCTAATTCATTGAGATGCACCTATATATATATATATATATATATAAAATCAGTGGCGCTTCGTCCATATAAGCTGCGAATGCTCCGCATACCCAGGCCATTTGAGAGAATAAGCTCACGGGGTTATTAATATAAACATGATTATAAGTTGATCCCTTGTCATTTAAAATGTAACTTAAAAGCTTAAAGAGTTAGGCATAAGTATGTACAATTATTTATTTGCCAAACGGCAGTAATTTTCTGTAAATCTACGTCAGTTGAGGTTGCTTCCGGGCAAGCAGATTCTCTGCAGCTTACTCACTTCCCTCTATTGCTATGACTTGCAGGAATGTAACGCGTTCTCATTGGTTTACTGGTCTGTGGCTGATTTCATGCGCGAGGTAAGCTGTCCGCGAAACGCTCGCCCAAGCCGAAAAATGCGCTGTTGCTGTCAGATCTCTTGCCTAAAATCACATTGTGTTTGATGCAAAACCAACTCGACTAAATCAAAAGAAAAAAACAGTGTATATTTTTATGTTTTCTCAAGCAAAGCAAATTTTAAAAGTCCACTGAAAACATATCTTCTTACATTTTTGGTCATAGACAATGTATGTTAAAGATATACGTTACTGTCAACATGGTAAATTAAAAAAAGTTTATAAAAATGTGGGCTATATAAATTTTTATAATTACAAACAGGAAAAGAAAAACAATCCTCTGAACATTTTTAACAAGATGTCATTTTTCCCTTAGTTTTGCGTATGCTCACGCGAGCCGTTAAAGTCCTTCTCTGATTTTATTGTTGTTTGCAACGTTGCAACTTGGCAATATTTTAAAGATATTATTAATTTGGGTACGTTGCATATTGGAGTAGTGTCACCCGTGTGGGAGTTTTAACTCCTATTCACTGGGAATTAGGGCTGTGAATCTTTGGGTAGACAGCGATTCGATTCGATTCATGATTCATAGGTTTTCGATTCGATTCAAGAACGATTTTTGCAAATTCAGAACGATTCCATTCGATTCGACTCACAATTAAATTCGATTTGATTCGATGAATGATTCGATTCTGCATTCTTTAAGTGCATAATATATAGGCTAACATTTTGTTACACCAGAGGCGTAGCCATCATTTCAGAAGTGACAGAAATGTCAAATACAATAATTTTATGTATGTATGTATTATTATTTTTTTTTACAAGGAATTATTTTCTTATCTCTTACTTTGAATTTGCTATAATAAATCAAATACATTGCTGGTCAATAATCAATCATTTGTAATCTATATATTTTTTCCTAATGGCAATTTTATGATTGTTTTATATACTACAATCAATTTTCTGCACAGAATAAGGTAGAAAATATACTTTATAGTTTCTGTACTGTAATAAATATGACAGTTAGCACTGCATCATTCATACATTTTATTTATTTACTGTGTTTATTGTCTCAATGTTTCAGTAGTTCATTCTGCTTTTTATTCAGATTAGCTGCAGATATAGCCACGTCTGTGTGTGGTCTTGATGCCTTGACCCCAGCCTCAGTCCATTCCTTGTGAAGTTCACTCAAATTCTTGAATCGATTTTGCTTGACAATCCTCATAAGGCTGCGGTTCTCTCGGTTGGTTGTGCATCTTTTTCTTCCACACTTTTTCCTTCCACTCAACTTTCTGTTAACATGCTTGGATACAGCACTCTGTGAACAGCCAGCTTCTTTGGCAATGAATGTTTGTGGCTTACCCTCCTTGTGAAGGGTGTCATTGATTGTCTTCTGGACAACTGTCAGATCAGCAGTCTTCCCCATGATTGTGTAGCCTAGTGAACCAAACTGAGAGACCATTTTGAAGGCTCAGGAAACCTTTGCAGGTGTTTTGAGTTGATTAGCTGATTGGCATGTCACCATATTCTAATTTGAGTTGAATTACTTAAATGAACTTTTCCACGACATTCTAATTCATTGAGATGCACCTATATATATATATATATATATATAAAATCAGTGGCGCTTCGTCCATATAAGCTGCGAATGCTCCGCATACCCAGGCCATTTGAGAGAATAAGCTCACGGGGTTATTAATATAAACATGATTATAAGTTGATCCCTTGTCATTTAAAATGTAACTTAAAAGCTTAAAGAGTTAGGCATAAGTATGTACAATTATTTATTTGCCAAACGGCAGTAATTTTCTGTAAATCTACGTCAGTTGAGGTTGCTTCCGGGCAAGCAGATTCTCTGCAGCTTACTCACTTCCCTCTATTGCTATGACTTGCAGGAATGTAACGCGTTCTCATTGGTTTACTGGTCTGTGGCTGATTTCATGCGCGAGGTAAGCTGTCCGCGAAACGCTCGCCCAAGCCGAAAAATGCGCTGTTGCTGTCAGATCTCTTGCCTAAAATCACATTGTGTTTGATGCAAAACCAACTCGACTAAATCAAAAGAAAAAAACAGTGTATATTTTTATGTTTTCTCAAGCAAAGCAAATTTTAAAAGTCCACTGAAAACATATCTTCTTACATTTTTGGTCATAGACAATGTATGTTAAAGATATACGTTACTGTCAACATGGTAAATTAAAAAAAGTTTATAAAAATGTGGGCTATATAAATTTTTATAATTACAAACAGGAAAAGAAAAACAATCCTCTGAACATTTTTAACAAGATGTCATTTTTCCCTTAGTTTTGCGTATGCTCACGCGAGCCGTTAAAGTCCTTCTCTGATTTTATTGTTGTTTGCAACGTTGCAACTTGGCAATATTTTAAAGATATTATTAATTTGGGTACGTTGCATATTGGAGTAGTGTCACCCGTGTGGGAGTTTTAACTCCTATTCACTGGGAATTAGGGCTGTGAATCTTTGGGTAGACAGCGATTCGATTCGATTCATGATTCATAGGTTTTCGATTCGATTCAAGAACGATTTTTGCAAATTCAGAACGATTCCATTCGATTCGACTCACAATTAAATTCGATTTGATTCGATGAATGATTCGATTCTGCATTCTTTAAGTGCATTTACAGGATTATTTAAATGCTTCCCCTAAATTCTTTAAATGCTTAGTCAGGGGGCAAATTACACAGCAGCCTTCATGGTTAGAGAACCATTGGTTAGAGAGAGAAAAACAAAACACTTTTGTCCATTGTTAGATGCTAGTTTAATGATGCTATGGCATGACATGGCATATGTAGAAATTTATGTAAGCCAAGATTTAAAAAAAGAGAGCTATAAAAGTAATATATAGGCTAACATTTTGTTACACCAGAGGCGTAGCCATCATTTCAGAAGTGACAGAAATGTCAAATACAATAATTTTATGTATGTATGTATTATTATTTTTTTTACAAGGAATTATTTTCTTATCTCTTACTTTGAATTTGCTATAATAAATCAAATACATTGCTGGTCAATAATCAATCATTTGTAATCTATATATTTTTTCCTAATGGCAATTTTATGATTGTTTTATATACTACAATCAATTTTCTGCACAGAATAAGGTAGAAAATATACTTTATAGTTTCTGTACTGTAATAAATATGACAGTTAGCACTGCATCATTCATACATTTTATTTATTTACTGTGTTTATTGTCTCAATGTTTCAGTAGTTCATTCTGCTTTTTATTCAGATTAGCTGCAGATATAGCCTGGCACGTCTTAAAGAGAAGTGATCTCGTGCTCACAGAACTTAAGTGCGAAAATTTCTTTACCTCATTTTCATAAAATAAAATGCTATAGTATTTAACTTTTCCTCTCCATCGGCAAATGATGATGCTGAAAGAAAACGCGCCCGATGTCTGTTTGCCATAGCATGAACGCTATTTTCATGCATCTGATTATCAGATAAACCTTGCACTCTTATTTCAAGGTTGATGTTAATGCTGTGGTTATTTTAACAGTTTCCTTCGTACATCCGGTTCAATGACATTGTTAAAACACATGTATCATTCAGTGGAACTGTGCCGATGCTTTAGACACTTAAATTTGCTCTGTCCATGCAATAAATGCACAGCCTTCGACTGCTCAGGTGTCGTCGGCATGACCGAGAGCCATTGAAAAACTCAGTTGAGGTTGCTTCCGGGCAAGCAGATTCTCTGCAGCTTACTCACTTCCCTCTATTGCTATGACTTGCAGGAATGTAACGCGTTCTCATTGGTTTACTGGTCTGTGGCTGATTTCATGCGCGAGGTAAGCTGTCCGCGAAACGCTCGCCCAAGCCGAAAAATGCGCTGTTGCTGTCAGATCTCTTGCCTAAAATCACATTGTGTTTGATGCAAAACCAACTCGACTAAATCAAAAGAAAAAAACAGTGTATATTTTTATGTTTTCTCAAGCAAAGCAAATTTTAAAAGTCCACTGAAAACATATCTTCTTACATTTTTGGTCATAGACAATGTATGTTAAAGATATACGTTACTGTCAACATGGTAAATTAAAAAAAGTTTATAAAAATGTGGGCTATATAAATTTTTATAATTACAAACAGGAAAAGAAAAACAATCCTCTGAACATTTTTAACAAGATGTCATTTTTCCCTTAGTTTTGCGTATGCTCACGCGAGCCGTTAAAGTCCTTCTCTGATTTTATTGTTGTTTGCAACGTTGCAACTTGGCAATATTTTAAAGATATTATTAATTTGGGTACGTTGCATATTGGAGTAGTGTCACCCGTGTGGGAGTTTTAACTCCTATTCACTGGGAATTAGGGCTGTGAATCTTTGGGTAGACAGCGATTCGATTCGATTCATGATTCATAGGTTTTCGATTCGATTCAAGAACGATTTTTGCAAATTCAGAACGATTCCATTCGATTCGACTCACAATTAAATTCTATTTGATTCGATGAATGATTCGATTCTGCATTCTTTAAGTGCATAATATATAGGCTAACATTTTGTTACACCAGAGGCGTAGCCATCATTTCAGAAGTGACAGAAATGTCAAATACAATAATTTTATGTATGTATGTATTATTATTTTTTTTACAAGGAATTATTTTCTTATCTCTTACTTTGAATTTGCTATAATAAATCAAATACATTGCTGGTCAATAATCAATCATTTGTAATCTATATATTTTTTCCTAATGGCAATTTTATGATTGTTTTATATACTACAATCAATTTTCTGCACAGAATAAGGTAGAAAATATACTTTATAGTTTCTGTACTGTAATAAATATGACAGTTAGCACTGCATCATTCATACATTTTATTTATTTACTGTGTTTATTGTCTCAATGTTTCAGTAGTTCATTCTGCTTTTTATTCAGATTAGCTGCAGATATAGCCTGGCACGTCTTAAAGAGAAGTGATCTCGTGCTCACAGAACTTAAGTGCGAAAATTTCTTTACCTCATTTTCATAAAATAAAATGCTATAGTATTTAACTTTTCCTCTCCATCGGCAAATGATGATGCTGAAAGAAAACGCGCCCGATGTCTGTTTGCCATAGCATGAACGCTATTTTCATGCATCTGATTATCAGATAAACCTTGCACTCTTATTTCAAGGTTGATGTTAATGCTGTGGTTATTTTAACAGTTTCCTTCGTACATTCGGTTCAATGACATTGTTAAAACACATGTATCATTCAGTGGAACTGTGCCGATGCTTTAGACACTTAAATTAGCTCTGTCCATGCAATAAATGCACAGCCTTCGACTGCTCAGGAGATGAACAAAGCGCGAGCGCAATCCTGTGACAGTCACAGGCGGTAAATAGTGGAGCGCGTGAAGGAGAGATGCAAGGGCACGAACACTGTTCAGGTCTCCATTAATTCGTGCTTGTATTCAAAGTATTCAGACCCCCTTAAATTTTTCACTCTTTGTTATATTGCAGCCATT